CTAACATGCGCTGTTGCTCTGCAGGGTCTCTGTTCCCCCATCACGGCACGTTTGAGGTCATCAAGAACACAGACATCGACCTGGATAAGAAAGTCCCTGACGATTACTGTCCGCTCAACGTGCAGATCCCCAGCGACCTGGAGGGGTCGGCGTATATTAAGGTAACATTCAGTTATCTATAACTCGCCTGTGAGCGCAGGCATCACGTGTTGTTTTCACCAGATGAACCGTGTGTGAGTGAGTGAGTGTGTGTGTGTGTGTGTGTGTGTTAGACGTCATTAACCTTTTAAGAAACTATAGAACAATTGAATGCTGTCAGTGTGTGAGAGATTTTAATCTATCACTAGAAGAGCCTCACATATGTAACCCTGGACCACAAAACCAGTCATAAGGGTCAGTTTTTAGTTTTTTCAGATTTATGCATCATCTGAAATCTGAATAAATAATCTTTCCATTGATGTATGGTTTGTTAGGAGAGGACAATATTTGCAACTCTGGAATCTGAGGGTGCAAAAAAATCTAAATATTGAGAAAATCATCTTTAAAGTTGTTCAAATGAAGTTCTTAGCAATGCATATTACTAATCAAACATTAAGTTTTGATATATTTACGGTAGGACATTTACTAAATATCTTCATGGAACATGATCTTTACTTAATATCCTAATGATTTTTGGCATAAAAAATGTATAATTTTGACCCATACAATGTATTGTTGGCTATTGCTACAAATATACCTGTGCTGCTTATGACTGCTTTTTTGCTGCAGGGACACATATGTTCTTAAGAAGCAATTAAAGGTCAGTGACACATTGGAATGGATATGTGTGTGTGTGTGTGTGCGTGTGCGTGTGTGTGTGTGTGTGTGAGTGAGAGAGTGTGTGTCTGTCTGTGTGTGTGCGTGCGTGTGTGTGTGTGTGTGTGTGTGTGTTACAGGTGCAGAGCAGGTTGGCGCGGTGCGGTGTGCGATCAGTGTGTTCCTTCACCTGACTGTGTTCACGGAGTGTGTGAAGAACCCGGGCAGTGCATCTGTGAGCGCGGATGGACGGGAGCGCGCTGTGATCGAGGTCCAGAGTCCTACAGGACTTTATATAGGAGCATCAGATGAACATGCATGGCCAGAATTCTTTGAAATAGATTGATTGATTAGATCTTTCCTCAGGATTCTTCTTTGATTACTCAGTATTGTCAGAGAGAAGTGCTTCAGCATACAGCAGCTGTTGTGTGAACGGTGGAGGTGTGCTGTGACGGTAACTGTGTGAATCTGTTGTTTTCTCTCAGAGGTTCACCGGTGTTCATCAAAGCCCTGCTCGGGAAACTCTACCTGTGTGGAGACCAGAGGAGGAGGACACGTCTGCCTTTGTTCTCCTGCATACACAGGAGAAAACTGCCAGCTGAAGAAAGGACCGTGTTCAGCGAACAGGTAACTGATTCTCACTGAAGCAGAGACGGAACAACAGACTGTTTCCTCTGTTAAACGTCTGTGGAGTGAAAAAATTGTCCGAAATATCGCTCACATAAAGATGCTATTGATCTGAGATCATCCAGCGCTGCCATTAATTATTGACTGCATTGATCATCCTTATTTGACTTTACAAAGACATCGAATGCTCATTAATGAAGCTACATCAGTTGCTCAAGCGTGCAAACCTCTGATTAGATGATAACATCACATCTTTACACTTAAACATGTCTGAACTTCATTGCATTAGATGCAAACCAAGTGACACTGGAACACAAATGATGCTTGAGCTGTTTTTATTTTGAATCAACTGATCTGGAGGGGATTTTTCAGGTCAAGTCACATTTATTTCTATAATGTTTCATACCATACAGATTTTTTCAAAGCAGCTTCACAGTAATAAACAGGAAAATACCAGAATCAGTGATGCAAACTTCATCAAATTTCAAACAAACTCAAATTCTGCTGTAAAGCAAACAACAGTGTAGTTTTTCAGCTCAGTTCAGTTCAGTGTTAGTTTAATTCAGTTCAATAACACTGTCAATATTGCAAAATTCATCAATCATGAAGGAGATTTGATTCAGCTGTACAGCAAACACAACAGAGTCATTATTCAGATCAATTCAGGCCAAAAATCGAAGTGTTGAAGTGTCTAAGACTTTATAAACAATATGTTTATTGCTTCATATTTTCAAACTACATTTGTGTAACATTTTAATTAAGTGTCACTTTTTTTGATGTTTTGCTATACGTGACCCTGGACACAAAACCAGTCATAAGGGGCAATTCAAAATTGAGATTTATGCATCATCTGAAGCTGAATAAATAAGCTTTCCATTGATGTATGGTTTGTTAGGATCGGACAATATTTGAAAATCTGGAATCTGAGGGTGCAAGAAATTCTAAATATTGAGAAAATCATCTTTAAAGTTGTTCAAATGAAGTTCTTAGCAATGCATATTACTAATCAAACATTAAGTTTTGATATATTTACGGTAGGACATTTACAAAATATCTTCATGGAACATGATCTTTACTTAATATCCTAATGATTTTTGGCATAAAAGAGAAATGTATAATTGTGACCCATACAATGTATTGTTGGCTATTGCTACAAATATCCCCCAGCGACTCAACACTGCTTTTGTGCTGCAGGGACACATATAATGCAAAGACGTGACTTTTTAACCGATGCGTTTGCATGTGTTTGCTCTCATGCGCAGCTCTCGCTGTCAGAACGGAGGAACCTGCGTGAACACGAGTGGCTCTGACAGCCGTTTCTCTTGCCTCTGTCCAGCTGGATTCACCGGCTCGTCCTGTGAGCTCCACATCAGCCAGCTCAAGCACAAACCCCGAGTGAAAGCGTCAGGTCCGGCTCACGCTTTCCACAAGCTGCTGCTGCGTCCGGCCGAGTCTGAGTCCGGTCCGCTGGTCACCCACAGCCAGATCATCTGCTTCTCCGTCCTGGCTCTCCTCACCTGTCTGGTGGTCCTGGTCACGACGGGCATCGTCTTCTTTACCCGCTGCGAGACGTGGATGGCGAACGCTAAGTACAGCCAGCTGGTGCGACAGCAGAGAGATCAGCAGAGAGAGCAGCATTCGCTCAACATCATCCTGCCGGAGAAAATCAAGCTGAGCAACTACAGCAAGCATTACACGTCCATATGAAGCGGATCCGTGACCGAGAGGTTTGGTGCTTTAGACAAAGAGAGGATGAAAAACAGCTGCAGTATTTCATGCTTTTATTGTTGGAATACATGCATATATTAAGATGTACAGCGAGCAACACAGACGGCGAAATACATGGTTTTCAATGATCTCATGATTGTGATATTGACTCGTACATGGTTTAAAGCTGGCGTGTTACGATTCACGAAGAGATGTTTTCATCACCTGAGCATTTTCATTTTCATGCACATATTTACATGTGAACAAATGATTAATGTAGCACTAAATAAACCATTGTTTTCAATGCAGACTATTAATACTCGTTCTGATTGCTCATGCTGTCCTGGCCATATGGTTTTGCATAGTGTCTCTTTTTAACTGCAGGGTTTCTGTGGGTCTTAAAAACTCTTCATTTGTCCTTCCACAAATGAACGCCTTAAAAAGACGTGGCATTAAATGTTGCAAAAAACAATATCCGCCCGTGTATTTTTGTTTTCCAATATAAATATCTTTGCATATCGTTGCTCTTTTGTTGATTTTGATTGCTTCTATTGTCCTCATTTTTTTAAGTCGCTTTGGATAAAAACATCTGCTAAATGACTAAATGTAAATATCTAAACATTCTCAAATCAAGATGCATTTACTGCAAATGTAAAATGTTTTATAAATTGAACAAAAAGAAATTAGTTTATGCTTAAAACAAGAACAAATATCTGTCAGTGAGGAAGCACAGGTATATTTGTAGCAATAGCCAACAATACATTGTATGGGTCACAATTATACATTTCTCTTTTATGCCAAAAATCATTAGGATATTAAGTAAAGATCATGTTCCATGAAGATATTTAGTAAATGTCCTACCGTAAATATATCAAAACTTAATGTTTGATTAGTAATATGCATTGCTAAGAACTTCATTTGAACAACTTTAAAGATGATTTTCTCAATATTTAGATTTTTTTGCACCCTCAGATTCCAGATTTTCAAATATTGTCCGATCCTAACAAACCATACATCAATGGAAAGATTATTATTCAGCTTCAGATGATGCATACATCTCAATTTGAAAAAATCGACCCTTATGGCTGTTTTTGTGCTCCAGGGTCACATTAACTCCTTTTTTGACTTGGTCTTACAAGATGTTAACCTTGTATTTAGTCTTATAAATGAACAAAACAATGGCCTTTACAATAGCTCGTATTTCGCCTGGATTCCTGAATATCTCGATGTTTCTTGATCGTGTTTTGTGTCTTCATGATGGTTTGTTTGCTCCTGGACTTTGCTGCCATCTAGCGGTTAAACTGGGAATCACGTGTGTATTTCACGTTCACTTTCCATGTGTTTCCGTCACTCCTCTCTCTCTGTCTCTCTCTCTCTCTCTCTCTCTCTCTCTCT